AGTTGGTCATTATTAAAGGGATGAATACTACATAATATAAAAAATAATAAGTTTTAGTTGGTTATTTTTAACTTTTAGCGAATGTCTACATTTAGAGAAATTTTGATAAATTTTTATTTTACTCAAAAAGTATTAACATTTTCCTAATTAATATATTTACAAAGTATACCTAAAATAGTGTGTATGAATCTAAAAACGCAAAAAATACAGGGTGTTCCATTGAAAATAAGAAAGTTGGTATCGTCCCACGGAAAACCGAACACCCTGTATTAATAAAAATAAATTATTTTAAAAATATTTTTTTCTACGTGAATATTTCTTCCTTGCAAATTTTTTGTGACTCCAGTAGTTTCTGAGATAAGTATATGGGTCACCTTACGTGGACCACCCTGTACGTATAGTTAGTTGTCGCTTTTTCTTACGAGTATCAAAGGTCGGGCCACCACAATCCTTTCATCAAATCCCTTCTGTATGTTTTTCACTAGTCTGAGCAGCTGGAGTTCGGTAGACAATATTCTCCTGAACCCAAATTGTTCGTTCGGTATTATGTTCCTGTTATCTAGTTCCTCCTCAATTCTAGTTTTGATGATCCTCTCGAGCAGCTTGGCAATTGAAGATAATAGCGAGATAGGTCGGTAATTAGAGGGAAAGACCGGACTTTCGCCGTTTTTTTGGAATCATGATGACGGCTGTTCTCTTCCATGGGGAGGGGAAATGGGTGAATTTAAGTGAGGCATTGAAAATATTTGCAAGTGATTCCAGGGTGGGGTCAGGGAGCAGTTTTAAAGCCTTGTTGGGAATTTTGTCTTCGCCTGTGATTTCAACTTTTGTCGATGGCCTAATACCCTAGTTCGGTTCAGAGTCCATTAGGAGGCAGTAAATTCTGTGGACGGTTCTGTTTAGTTAAGGGATGTGTGAAACTAATTATTTTTTTAAACCTTTATTCACAAAATAAAAATTGTAATAAAACAAAATTAAAGTAATGGCATAAATTCCGGGCTTATCCGGGACTTATTATTTGATTTATTATTTATCTAGACTACCAACTTTACAGTATTATTAAAATTTTTACCGGATCTATCAGGATAGTATGAAAACGACACTAAAACGTTACTTTTTTTACAAAATAATTCTCATGGAAAAGACCTTTCTTTGATTCTTTAAACTTTGACCCACAAATAATTAAATGATGAAGTTTTGTTAAATAAAAACAATTACATATAAGTACTTCGAGAATCCATAACTTTTTTCACCACTTTAGAACTTATGGACATAAAAAAATAATTTTACAATTTAGATTGTTAAGAATGTCATGAACAGATAACATACAGGGAACACGACCGAATTCCAACCGACGACTTACGGGTACGTGATGCACGGGCGGGGGTGGGAGGGGCTGGCTTTTATTATCAGAAGGGTCCTTTATATTAGGAAGTCGGCTTTCTAGAAGTATTTGATTTCTTTATGAATTGACTTTTGGCCGCATAGATTATTCAAATACCCCTATGTGCTCTATTAAGATTAGGATAATATAAAATATGAATAAAAATTGAATAATTTTATATACATTAAATAAATGCGTTTTAATTGTTAAAATATTTTTTTTTATTAAATTATATTTACCTCCTTATAAAGTTTTCTTTATAACCTGCACGCCGTTATTTAACTGTCTTATTCGGGAACGTGTCCTGCTCTGGCAGTTAGTGATGGAATTTTGTTCTGGCTTTTTATCACCCATTTCACATATATTTAATATATTCTATTAAAATTTCTGGAGTTCTGTCGAAGAATGTTATCGAAAGTAACCTCCTAAAATGCACTGCTAAGCTTAAAGCCAATGTAAAGTAATATAATACAAATGTCAATTTGTATTGTTTTTAAAAATTTAATGATCTGTTCCCTGCTTAAAATGTCCCATAGAGACCCATAAAAATAATCTATCGGGCGCTAACGGACTCAATATGTGCATTTGTCCATGGTTTTTTTCCGGATACGGCCCGATAGAAAATTTATAGAAAATTACCTATAGGCACATGGGTATTCCCAAAGAGAAAGTAAGGTAATTTATTAATAACAATAAGGTAGAAAATTAATTTTGTGGATTTTCTAATTAGCTTGGTTATATTTCCATTATTAAAATAAATAAATTAAAATAAGAACAAATAAAAATGCTCTTATAAATATATATTATTATAATAATAATTACCATACGCACAAAGCTACTAATTGCGAAAAATGCGAATATTTTTTTTCTGTTGGCTTTAGGTATAGGACATATATTTATAAAAAGAAAGGAAATTACATATTTTATCCAATTATGTAAAAATATATAGGGTGTTCCATTGAAACAAAAACAAGATTTTGAACTTTTAAAATCGCTATTTTCAACGGAGCCTAGAAAACACCCTGTATAATATTTTATAAAAAAAAAGATTTAACTTATAGCTTGGTCTGACCAAGTTGGTCATTATTAAAGGGATGAATACTACATAATATAAAAAATAATAAGTTTTAGTTGGTTATTTTTAACTTTTAGCGAATGTCTACATTTAGAGAAATTTTGATAAATTTTTATTTTACTCAAAAAGTATTAACATTTTCCTAATTAATATATTTACAAAGTATACCTAAAATAGTGTGTATGAATCTAAAAACGCAAAAAATACAGGGTGTTCCATTGAAAATAAGAAAGTTGGTATCGTCCCACGGAAAACCGAACACCCTGTATTAATAAAAATAAATTATTTTAAAAATATTTTTTTCTACGTGAATATTTCTTCCTTGCAAATTTTTTGTGACTCCAGTAGTTTCTGAGATAAGTATATGGGTCACCTTACGTGGACCACCCTGTACGTATAGTTAGTTGTCGCTTTTTCTTACGAGTATCAAAGGTCGGGCCACCACAATCCTTTCATCAAATCCCTTCTGTATGTTTTTCACTAGTCTGAGCAGCTGGAGTTCGGTAGACAATATTCTCCTGAACCCAAATTGTTCGTTCGGTATTATGTTCCTGTTATCTAGTTCCTCCTCAATTCTAGTTTTGATGATCCTCTCGAGCAGCTTGGCAATTGAAGATAATAGCGAGATAGGTCGGTAATTAGAGGGAAAGACCGGACTTTCGCCGTTTTTTTGGAATCATGATGACGGCTGTTCTCTTCCATGGGGAGGGGAAATGGGTGAATTTAAGTGAGGCATTGAAAATATTTGCAAGTGATTCCAGGGTGGGGTCAGGGAGCAGTTTTAAAGCCTTGTTGGGAATTTTGTCTTCGCCTGTGATTTCAACTTTTGTCGATGGCCTAATACCCTAGTTCGGTTCAGAGTCCATTAGGAGGCAGTAAATTCTGTGGACGGTTCTGTTTAGTTAAGGGATGTGTGAAACTAATTATTTTTTTAAACCTTTATTCACAAAATAAAAATTGTAATAAAACAAAATTAAAGTAATGGCATAAATTAACATAACTAATCCTAAACAAATATTGAATAAAAAAAAAAATCATATAATACAATTTTGACTATAATATTCAAAGCAGCTTTTCCGGGCTTATCCGGGACTTATTATTTGATTTATTATTTATCTAGACTACCAACTTTACAGTATTATTAAAATTTTTACCGGATCTATCAGGATAGTATGAAAACGACACTAAAACGTTACTTTTTTTACAAAATAATTCTCATGGAAAAGACCTTTCTTTGATTCTTTAAACTTTGACCCACAAATAATTAAATGATGAAGTTTTGTTAAATAAAAACAATTACATATAAGTACTTCGAGAATCCATAACTTTTTTCACCACTTTAGAACTTATGGACATAAAAAAATAATTTTACAATTTAGATTGTTAAGAATGTCATGAACAGATAACATACAGGGAACACGACCGAATTCCAACCGACGACTTACGGGTACGTGATGCACGGGCGGGGGTGGGAGGGGCTGGCTTTTATTATCAGAAGGGTCCTTTATATTAGGAAGTCGGCTTTCTAGAAGTATTTGATTTCTTTATGAATTGACTTTTGGCCGCATAGATTATTCAAATACCCCTATGTGCTCTATTAAGATTAGGATAATATAAAATATGAATAAAAATTGAATAATTTTATATACATTAAATAAATGCGTTTTAATTGTTAAAATATTTTTTTTTTTTATATAATTTTATCCTCCTTATAAAGTTTTCTTTATAACCTGCACGCCGTTATTTAACTGTCTTATTCGGGAACGTGTCCTGCTCTGGCAGTTAGTGATGGAATTTTGTTCTGGCTTTTTATCACCCATTTCACATATATTTAATATATTCTATTAAAATTTCTGGAGTTCTGTCGAAGAATGTTATCGAAAGTAACCTCCTAAAATGCACTGCTAAGCTTAAAGCCAATGTAAAGTAATATAATACAAATGTCAATTTGTATTGTTTTTAAAAATTTAATGATCTGTTCCCTGCTTAAAATGTCCCATAGAGACCCATAAAAATAATCTATCGGGCGCTAACGGACTCAATATGTGCATTTGTCCATGGTTTTTTTCCGGATACGGCCCGATAGAAAATTTATAGAAAATTACCTATAGGCACACCATAAATTTTACATTTCCCCTATTGAGACCGATAGAAAATAACTCAAGGAAGGATATATAGGGATATCCATATAGAGCAACCATAAAACATTTGACAAAATTTAGGAGAAAAACTAATTTCTACCTTTATGTGTAATTTCCCTATTGAGACCGATAGCAAATTAATCAAGGAAGGATATCCCTATAGGACAACCATAAATCCCAACTATGGGCCCTATACATACCGATACACCCTATAGAAACACCATGCAATCCTATACAAAAATCTATCGGTTTGAACAGGGTCTCTATGTGACATTTTAACCAGGGTTGCCCTTTATTATTTAATATTGTACATACGGACTTTTATTGTAGTAGGGCTGTATAAATATTATACATTAATCGCAAAAATACCTATTGTTTATAATGTTTTTACTTTTTTTAGAATAAGAGCCCGAGCCTTAAATCAATATGTACCTTATTTAATTTATCAACAGATTCTGAGACTGAAACTATAGGTTTTGAGAAACAAAAATCTGAGAAAACATCTATAATTGCAGATGCAGAAACTCAAACACTTATAAATGATATGGAAATTAAACCAAATTGTAATAAAAATAAAGCCCAGACGGTTATTTTACAACAATACCAAAATGATGGTGAAAGAAGAAAAAATTACATTAAAATACATTATATGGCAGGTCAATCGCAATGTAAGTAATTGATAGAAAGGTTAATTACAGTTAAAAAAGATATTTTAAAATTCTTAATTCTTAATTTTTTATCATTTTTGATAAAAAACAAGAAATATATTCATGTATATATTCATATATTCATGTATACATGAATGCATTTTGTTTATTTATTTTTGTTTACAGGATTTTATTATTTTTTATTATATTTCTTGGTTTTTATCAAAAATGATAAAAAATTAAGAATTAAGTAAACAAAAATATAAAAACTTAAAATTTAAAAGTTAATTTTATACTTGAAAGATGTTTTACTTTATGGTTTCTGATTTTATTTATATCCATTTTCAATTTCTCCTTTAATATTTTTTTCCTACATGGTGTACAATTTTTTTAGATTTGTAATGAGGTAAATGATGATAAAAATAATCAATCGTTTCGGCCATAGAGACAAACTTAATGGGCCTAATGTGCAGTAGTTCGTTTTTACTGCACCCACCCTTAATTTGCAGAAACAGAGCTTCCTCCCACTTCAGTTGGCCCACTGGCTCGTACAATACAATAATAAGGCACATAATCACAATCAGACACAACCCGTTCCTCAGCAAATACTCTTGCAGTCTTTTAATAAAACAAAATAGTCACTTCGGAATGACAAAAATATATTTTTATCACTTACAGCTGAAACAAACGAAGGCCGCACAGTGGTCTCAAATCCTAAAAAATGTATCATAATTTTGGAGACTCAAATGCATAGTATAAACCAAGTCTTTGTGGTTGTATTGATAGCGGAATTCTTCGCAAATATTGACAACTAATTTTCTGAAATTGTTTACAAAAATATGTTAATATTAATTAAAAAACTAAAAATTGGAATCGAGACTTTTTTGTTAACTTTTTTACCAGGGTTTTCGAAAGCCTCATGTTAAAAAAACCTGATAAATATTTTTTTTATTTATTGTTATATTTGTTGTTAAGTATTTTTTTTCAAGCGTATTTTAAAATTACACTTTTTCTTGTAAAAAGATTCCTTGTAGTCCCGCTAAAATAATTTAATTTATACAAAATCTAAGCACTTTTGAATATTTGATTTTTTACGTTGTCACCATATATGGTGATCTATAGATAACACAGTTCAACACGATTTTCCACCCACGAAAAAACAGATTTTAAAAATAAAGGTTAAACAAACGTACCCGTGTCGCACCGTTTTACGAAATCACGTCATTTAATTTTTTTACACAGGCATTCTTATTATTTTAACCTAAAAATTTTTAATTCTCTAATTTTTTTTCTTCAAATATTTTATGTTTTTACACCATACAAAAATTATACTTAAAGAAAATAACAATTTTAATTTTTTTAAGTAAAAAAAAATATATTTCTGGCTTAAATTTCTGATTTTTTTTAATAAAACAATAGTTTTGTATTTATCTTATATTACATATCGTCGTTCTTATGACATAAGGCCCTATCTCGATTTTTACAACTTTTCAGGAGAGATATTTAAAGAAAACTGATATTTAAAGAAAACTGATATCTGTCAACACAACATAAGAAGAACTTTAACGATTTTCAATCTTATTTTTTGAAATTATGAACAAAAAATTATGTAAGTTTTTTGTCAGATATCAAATTTCAACATAATAATTAACATATTGTTGTAATAACGGTTTTTAACGGTTTTTGTCAGATAGGGCCTTTTGTAATAACACTAAACATTTTTATTGCTGTATTTTGGTCGAGATAGTAGAGATGAAAATGCCGTTTATACTGATGTTTTTTTTTAAATAAAAAGCAAATCGCAAAATCTAATTTAATATAATAAATAAAACTCCGAACAGTAAAATAAGTAATACAAACAAAAGCAAAACTAACACTGGAATTTATTTAAAAACACAACCTTACCTTAAAATATAACGTAAAACATTATTTTCAATTAAAAACATAAAATGAACTAAAGTTCATTCATAACATACATAAAATAAAACATAAAAAACTTAAATTTGTCTCAACAAAATTGAAATGACAGTAAATTTAAATATGTAATAAAAAACTGTTAGTTTAATTTTGTGTATGAGGGAATGAGCGGAAAAATAATTTATTTTCAGGCGAAGAAATAACAGGTTTGAGACCAGAACAAAGGGATATTAGATTTTCATACTTTAACATTGATATAGACCTTTTCCCTTTATTTAATTTTTTGATTGTCAAAAAATGTAATTTGTTTTTCATTTGACATTGAACGGTATTTCTTGTCTACGTGGCTAGTTTAAAAAATATTTTATCAGGGTTTTCCTTTTTTACAAATAATTCAAATACATTTTACCATTTAAATTCATTTCCGGCAGTATCTTTTTTTATACATTTGATTTTATAATCCAAAAAATCATCATAATTTAATTGGTAAACCTTATAAGGATTGTTTTGTCTTGTCAACCGAAATACTGGTACCAACTGACTTGGAGTGAACATGTCAATGATTAGGTGAAAAAAATTTAAGACTTATTTCCATCAAGTGTTTTGATTGCAAAACCGTATATAAAAGAGCACTTGTCATGATCGAATTTTTATTTTTCCCGCAACAGCCATCTGAAAACAATTGGGCAGAAGAAACATTTTTTTCTTTGTCGTATTTTTTTAAGATCATTACAACTGCGGTGGCAATTTCAGAAGATCCGCAGACAACAGTCACGGTTGGATAAGTCATAAATCGTGAAGTTAAAAACAGACAACCTACGTTTATATAAACGAATACAGTCTCGTGCCAAACAAATGCCTTAGAATTAGGTTAGTTTTCATGATTTTTTTATTTAAAAACAGTGGCACTAATGAAAAAGTGATAGAGGAAAAACTTGCTTTTTTGTTTATTACAAATTTCAACAACCAGATTACAGGGTTACAATTGGGCTGTTCAATGAACACTGTTCATTGAACAGTGTTTATCACAGCTCCCACGTTCAAAATAAATCCTAAATAGGCTTTCGCTAGTTCATGCTCAAAAATTTTGTTAAGCCTTGGCGGTAGCGAGTTGAGCTTTGATTGGAGCAAAATGTTTTATAGATTTGTCGATAGATGCCAACCACCGCATCGGTACTGACACAGATTACAGATCATAAAGAGCGCAGCAACTCAGACCAATTCTCATTGTTCATCATGTCCCAGATTCTTACAATACAAACCGCAAGAAGTTGTTGGTCAGGTATCAAACTTAATTTTAGTTAGGCTTGGACTCCAAAAATTAACCATTTATTTAAAAAAAACTAATAAAATTTAACTTTTCTAGCCTTTCTATCGGCGAATTCTTTTATTAGGTTATCAAAGTCGATGTTTTCAGCAATTTAATTTTTGATTGACAAATTTGCCAAGTTTGTCAATCTAGATTGAGATATTGTCGATCGCAGATACGTTTTTATCAGCTTAAGCTTAGAAAAACTCCTATCCCCACTAGCAACCGTTATAGGTATAGTTAATAATATTCGCAATGCTATCCATACATTTGGATACAGTTCTTGTAAGTTGAGATCTTTGATAAAATTTAAAATATAAGCAGGGGTAACCACATTCTGATTGGGCAAAAAAGATTTCAGGCTCACGAGTTCACCTCACAAGTGTTGTGTGATGAACTCGTAAGCCTGAAATCTTTTTTGCCCAATCGTTGTTACAAACAACCATCTATATCTAATTTAGAGTCTACAGTTAATTTCAATATAGACTCGTCGCGGGCAGTTTCACCAGCTTGCCGCTTAACAAATCGAATTCTTGTCGTGGATCTAAACACAGGTTAGGGGTCAATATCGCAGTGCTCCGATCGAACAGATTGAACACTGCGTTCCATTCTAGTGTTGCCAACATAACAATTTTTTCCCTAAATTAAGGGAATTTACGAGTAAGTAGACCTCGTTCAATGAGCGAGGGGATATAAAGGGGCGTCAGTGGCGCACCTTTTTATCCGGAGCCCTGGGCGGACGCCCAACCGCGCCCTACCCTAACCCCGCTACTGCCATTTCCTATACCTAAAGTAATACGTTTTCGAGTTCCCCTATACCTACAGTTAATAATTTCATTTCATTTAAAATAAAAAAGTTATTAACGTTTTTAGTTAATTTTCCCTGGGTTTTCTTCGGCAAACCTAATAGCAAAAAAGTTATAGGCTATTTTTGATTGACGCGCATTTGTCAAATTTTAATAAAAAAATTAATAACTCGAAAACTATTCACTTTACGTAAAGGACATGGTATAGTAATTTTACTCTAAATTTTATGTAGAATTTAAAATGTTATATATGGGGTGTTCTATTTAAAATAACAAACATAGTCACTTCCGGTCAAACCGGAAGTGGCATTTTGTTTAATTTTTATTGTTTATTTATTTATTTATTTATTTATTTATTTATTTATTTATTTATTTATTTATTTATTTATTTATTTATTTATTTATTTATTTATTTATTTATTTATTTATTTATTTATTTATTTATTTATTTATTTATTTATTTATTTATTTATTTATTTATTTATTTATTTATTTATTTATTTATTTATTTATTTATTTATTTATTTATTTATTTATTTATTTATTTATTTATTTATTTATTTATTTATTTATTTATTTATTTATTTATTTATTTATTTATTTATTTATTTATTTATTTATTTATTTATTTATTTATTTATTTATTTATTTATTTATTTATTTATTTATTTATTTATTTATTTATTTATTTATTTATTTATTTATTTATTTATTTATTTATTTATTTATTTATTTATTTATTTATTTATTTATTTATTTATTTATTTATTTATTTATTTATTTATTTATTTATTTATTTATTTATTTATTTATTTATTTATTTATTTATTTATTTATTTATTTATTTATTTATTTATTTATTTATTTATTTATTTATTTATTTATTTATTTATTTATTTATTTATTTATTTATTTATTTATTTATTTATTTATTTATTTATTTATTTATTTATTTATTTATTTATTTATTTATTTATTTATTTATTTATTTATTTATTTATTTATTTATTTATTTATTTATTTATTTATTTATTTATTTATTTATTTATTTATTTATTTATTTATTTATTTATTTATTTATTTATTTATTTATTTATTTATTTATTTATTTATTTATTTATTTATTTATTTATTTATTTATTTATTTATTTATTTATTTATTTATTTATTTATTTATTTATTTATTTATTTATTTATTTATTTATTTATTTATTTATTTATTTATTTATTTATTTATTTATTTATTTATTTATTTATTTATTTATTTATTTATTTATTTATTTATTTATTTATTTATTTATTTATTTATTCATTCATTCATTCATTCATTCATTCATTCATTCATTCATTCATTCATTCATTCATTCATTCATTTATTCATTTATTCATTTATTCATTTATTCATTTATTCATTTATTCATTTATTTATTTATTTATTTATTTATTTATTTATTTATTTATTTATTTATTTATTTATTTATTTATTTTATATAAATACTTCAAAGTATTCCTAAAAACAAAACGAAAATCTTCAAAAAATATCTACAATGTTAAGTATCTTAACTATCTTAAAATTTAATTAATAAATTTCGATTCCTACCGAAACCAAAATAAGAAAAACTATCCAAGTCAAAAAATTAATTGAATTTGTTAATTTAGTTTTAATTTAATTTTCTAAAACTATCTTAATTTAATTATCTAATTAATACCCAAACCAAAACAGGAAAAACTATCCAAGCCCAAAAAATACCATAATTGAATTTGTTAATTTTTATGACGTATCATGGAGAGAGAGACGTTCTGGTGCAATTTCTATCTTTACGCTACATCACGAACGGATCACGAAAGTAGAGTGGATAAACTTGTCGTGTCAGATCTGATCTTTTTTCCAACATTGACAGTCTCTGTTTTGTTCGTAATAAAATATGCTATTTATGTAAATAGTATTGAATTATAAAATTTACCAACGATGCATCGATGCATCGGCCATCGCGATGGCCGTAACTTAAGCATTTAAGATAAAGTGTTAATGTTATTCTAAATAAATATATGCCATTTTTACATTTCATTTCATTTCATTTATTTATTTTACTTTTCAGCTACGTTTTAATTTTCTTGTCAAAAGAAATATAATTTTATTAAAAAAATTGTATGCATTGCAAATTGAAGTAAATAAAGGGGTTAAGTAACGTATTTATTAATAAAGGACAACAAATATTGTAATTGCCATATTAAATTTATTTTTATTTACAATAATAATATTGTTTGTTCTTTTTAACTTTAATGTAACATAACACCTTCAAACAAAAGATATTGCAATACCAAAGTTATTTTTAATTACAATTGCAATATTTTTTGTACTTTTTTATTAAGACTTACTTAGCCCCTTCAATTGCAAATTTGTTTAAAGGTTAGTTAAAACAATTTTAAGTAAAACTTTTACAAATAATATGTTTAATAGCTTTATAGAGAAGCTATGATGTTCTGGCGCACTAGTTAAGTTGGCTGCCGTAGGTGGTGTCACAAAAAGAAAAATAGAAACTTGTAATTCAGTATTGTTGTTAGTTTAGGTAGAAATCTATTATCAGTCAGTATCGCCGAGCTACAGAACGGTGGTGATGGCGCTTATTCCCAAATATTTTATTTATACAATATAATAAACATTTAATACTTAAATAATATATTAATATATTAATTTTATAATTAAATAAACGTTAAATAATTATAGTTAACATAAAAAACATAATAAATAAAATAAGCTATGCATATAATTCTGCAGGACGTAATCAACAAAAATGAATTTTAGGTTACAGTATATATTAGGCCATGTGCCTGTTGTGTTAATAATAAAATAATTATTATTAAAAATAAAATAAACAAAAACATAATATTATCAAATTATTACATATTAGGGAGGCTATAAAAATAATGAGGTTAAATAATTAAATAAAAATTACAGGGATTATTTAAATATTATAATAATTATTATATTAATTTTGCATCTTTATCATCCGGGGAACCAATTTAACTTTGGTTAATACTATAGTATATATATATATTGACCTCATGTGCAATGGACTTGACTTATAATTTTATCAGTCTTTGAGTTTAAGGAATCAAAATAATCTTAAAATGTTTAATAAAATTATATTTAATGGATTTTATAACAAATTTTTTACCCTTAAATTTTTTAGTGTATATTTTTGAGCATAAACCAACAAGTCAAGACAACTTCATTAAGCACATCTTTCATCTAGCCTGAAGCTTTTTAATTTACCAAAGGAATATTGTTACGGTTATTTTTTTAATAATCACCAGTATACAATATAACATTGTATTTTGTAAATAATACTGTTAGTTTAAGTGTATAATAATTTGCATTATTAATTTTTCATAGTCATAGTAAAAGTTATAAATGCACATCTTGTATATATTTTGTATTGCCATACCAATATATTGTTTGATATATAAATTAGTTTTATTAAGTTAAACAGCAATCAGATTTTCGTTAAAAATTTGTAGCTTCATATTGACCCTCCATTTATTGACTAATTTTACTATTCGATGCTTGCGAATATTCTCTTTAACTTTACCAAACACTGCATTGTTCATTAATTTAAAAAGTTTTTTTATACAATTTGTTTTCCTTTTGATGTTAATTTGTATTTAATTACAGCCAGGGTGATTGTTTAAATTTTAGTCCGTGAGTTAAATATTGTCGGTCAATTATTTCGGTAATTTTGAATTTGATTACTTTTGATGTTCGAGGCAAAGGGGTCCTTGTGCAGATTCTTACTAAACCAATTTCTTAAATCTACCCCAACATATGAAAATGACCGAATGCATTTTTTAAAAGACAATATGCTTGAATGCAAAATTATCTGATTAGTTAACATTATTCAATAATTGATTTAAATGATTCTTCGATTCCTAGTAGACAATTATCGCTGTAATCAAGCGATAATTGTCTTGCATAAATAAGAGGGTAATTATCGTTATAACGCTACATTTTTTGCTTAAAATTTTCCAAGCAGGTCTTAACTTCTTGGTGATTTGAGTGCTTACTTGAACTTAATACATTAATTCATTATTTAGAAAAGAAACTTTATAAATAACTTACTTTATATTTATATTTTGCAGTTATGTGCGTGGATTTGTAATTATGCTAGTAGAAACAACGTTTATAACACAATGGACAATCCAGAACAAAAAACTACTTTTTTTACACAATCTTAAACTAATAATTAAAACTGTAGCAGTAGTGTTTGTTATTCATATCCACAAAATTTAGCGAATTCGGAAAACAAATTAATTTCTGGATTCTCAAACCCAGCTAAAATTTTAAAATTAATGAGGTATACAGTGTTTGGGAATAAATGGTAAAAAATCTTAAGTCGCAAGCCACGCCAAGATAATCATTTTTGGTTTACGGGACACTTGTCCTAAAGAAAAAAAATTAAAAGTACTTTTTAAAGTGTTATTAATATCCCCAAAAGCACTTTGAGTAATATTTCCAATTTTGGTGTGTATTAGTAGGATATAGCGATATTTTTACTGATTAGCCTAGTCAACATAAAAACGTCCTCCTAGGTTTTTTATTGATAAGGAACACCAAGGAGGATGTTTTCATATAGAATTGACCAGGCTAATCAGAAAAAATATCCCCATGAAAAAATGTCAGTCGATTACTACTTGGACTTTAGGACACATGTCCCCAGAAAAAAAAATGATTATCTTGGCGTGGCTTCCGACCCCCTTGATTTTTTAGCATTTATTCCCTAACACCCTGTATAGTATATTTGCATAGTAGGCGTAATGCAAAACACTCTGTATACATTGAAGTTTATACATAAAAAAAATCTGAATCTTTCGGAAAATATAATGAATACTTCGGAAGTTCATAATTATATACTACATAAATAAGAGGCTCTTGGTTCCCTCCCTAATTCCACCAAAATGGGCAAAAATGGTAAAAAGCCCCCGCTTTTATATGAAATTATACAGGGGATGTACAAATTTTAGATAATAGGTTTCTTTTATTACACTACTATTTTTCATTGTATTATATCCATCAAGTGACGCCACCTAAGGCAGCCAAGCGTGCGCCAGAACATACATAGCTTCTCTACTTGGCTTAGTTTATACTTTTTTTACTGTTTAAGATGTTATTTGTTTTTATTTTTCAGCAAATGACAATCACACCAACATTAGTTCCAAAGATCAAAATTTAAACAGAAAAGTTGGTGATTTATTAGACACTGATTATATGGACTATATGAAGTTGGATTCAGATAGTTCCTTTGAAATGGATGTTAATGAAAATAGGAATATTATACAACCTGACTTTATAAAAAAACAATGTCTTAGTTATAAAAGAAAATTGTAGAAGAATATAGTTCAATAAATTGTCAGTCTAAACACTATTTTAATACAAGCGATTTAAAAGAAACGGTGTTTTTAATTTGCCATGCTAAGTATAATTTTAATTATAATAATTATAGTAATTATATTTAATTAATTAATTATTATATAATTATATTAATTAACAAAGGTATCTTATAATGATTTATTTATTTTTTACACTATGTAGTGTAGGCTACAAAATATATGCTCGGTACATATTAAAAGCCTTGGACGAACTAGTGGAACCCATCCCGTACTATAGCGAACAGGTCCACGCATAACCACATATTCAGCGCCAGACGAATAATGGAAGAAACATGGCGTAGAGGGAAAATATATGTGTTGTAACCTATGACATAGAAAAAGCTTTCGATAAAATTAAACACACAATCATAGAAGCCTTAAACGCAGTGAACACCTCTCAATGGCTTTCTATCGAATTGAATCGGACTGCCTGAAAGAATACACGTGCGTACAATGGTTTGGTCAGACCACAAAACTATTCCGGAAAACAAAATGAGTAAAACAAGGTTGCCCCCTTTCACCACGATTATTTACACTAGCGCTCCACCGCATCCTTAAACAGGCGACAGCTGAAATACCGGAACTACAACTAGACAATGACTTGACTGACTTCGAACTGCCCACCGTGCTCGCTTTTGCGGACGACCTACTCCTCATCGCGAACAACCTAACAGAAATCGATTCACCGAGGTTCTTACCAAGCATATGAACGCAAAGGTCTAAAACTCAACGAACAAAAAAACAAAATACTAATTCGTAACCCCAAATTCCCGACTAGACTACACAACACCGGGACTACACAACACCGGGCCCAAAAAAATAGGCTCGTTCACATTTCAGCTCGAAAACAGCCTTAAATACCTCGGCTCCACAATTACCAGCACCTTAAACCGCCCGGAAACGACAAAACAAAGAATAAAAGCAGCCACGCGCTCAGCGCGCTCGATAAACATAAATAAACATAATAAACTATAATCTTCCGTGGAAGTTCCGGAAGCTGATATACTCAACCGTGATCTCCCCCACGGTGACATACGCACTGAACACATGCGCACTGACCAAAGCAAACCGACAAAACCTCCGAAAATTCGAACGCAAAATACTCACCTTGTTTACGACAGACCTAACGGACTTACAGAACCAATCGCCCAGAGTCCTCCTAGAAGGAAAAACAATCACCAAACGTGTCAGGGTGGCACAACTAAAATACTGGGCACATGCCAAGCGTAGACGCCGAAAACACATATTACAAGCCACCTTAAATCTAGACCTCATCGAAAAAAAAGTCGGTAGACCTTGCTACACATTCCACGACACCCTGGCGCAGACAATCCAATTCTCACAAACCGACCTCGCCAGTTCGGAACAAATCAGCACCCACAAAAACCTTATGCGGGAGGAGACGGAAACACTGTATCAACTTCCGGAATCCGACCCGGAAACGGACACAGACACTGACGAACCGGAAGTAAACCAACAAAGATAGGTGTAAGCAAAGAACTAACCTACCTACCCCCATTCATGAATCCCAATTGAATGGGGTTATTACTAAGACCCAGGTTGAGGAGGATTCCGGATTGTACTTAGTTTTAGGTCAGTTCAATGTCCTCCAAAAACCCTTCCTAAATTGGACGTATGGCTCGACCCGGCTGACAAAAATCCGTGGAGCGGCCTTAACCATAGACACTGTCATCCACGACCTACTAGGGTCGATCTACCAGCCGGCGTAAAAACTTCGGATCCAACAAACACAGGTAATGCTGTGATTTGGAGGGATACGCAGAAGAACGGAAAGGGGGTAAAATAACCCTGGGAGATTAGTGGAGGAAATTGTCTTTGAGGCCTGCCATACGTTCCCATACTCATACTCATACTCATAAAGGTATCTTATAATGATTTATTTATTTTTTAATTAGAATCAAATTAAACGTCAAATCACCCAGCTTTTATGTAAAAATTTACCGTTAGATCGTCATATCTTAATGAAACTCGGTATATCGGCTTAGTTTTATCTATGAAGTATACTCCTAAAACGATTTTACAAAATATATTTTCTGGTTCATGACAATTATAATGAATAATCTTTTTGATATTGACGCTTCCTTACTTTCGGAAGTTAATTATGAATTACGAATAAAAAATTTAGATTCTAGCGAAATAGAACTTGCTACCAAAATTAAATGTTTGAACGTTTATTTTAGATCAGATTGTAATAACTCTTCTGTTAAATATAAAACACCCAATTATGACTTTGCTACTGAAAAATCTCAACTAGTATAAAATCCTTAAAGTTGCTTGTAAAAAAATTGCAAATTTGGTAGACTAGAGAGATTTCGCAATACTATCGATGAGGATAAAGAGTATCGAGCCAGTAACATCATTGAAATTACTGCTTTGGCTTCTGATGTATCTTTTAATGCTTCCCAAAAGTCTTTTAATATTTCTGCAGTTTTAACCATGGAACCAGAACCATTAGTAATAAATAAGTCAAAAACTCCTGTCTTTAAACGGGGAATAACTTTTGACCTAACAAACAAAGAGTGGTCTGTGAACAGTTTTTTGCAACAGGTTAAAGAACCTCAACTTGCTAGAAACATCTCAGATCCTGAACTTTTTAGGTCGTCAGTGGATTTTTTTTCGGTAGTGGCGCTTCATTGGTATAAGTATTGGATAATTCGGATTCCTTGGTAAGTGCTTTAAGGCGAGATTTTCTGCCGGTTGATTATGACGATGTATTGTGGTCGGAGATTAGAAGTAGAACTCAGGGTTACGATGAGAAAGTTGCCTTTCAGTTATGAGTAGATAATAAAGGAGAGAGCTGGCTCACTTAAACACCAAATTAACATTATGAGAGATCTACCTCACTTTTAAACATTAAATTAATTCTGGCTTACTTATATATGAGTACATTAGACGCAAAATTCGGTTTTTGCAAATTAATTAAAAAATATATACAGCCCGTTCAGCGTAAAACCGAATATATCTATATATATGTGGGGCGTGGCCTCGCCTCCCTCCAACGCGCGACAAAGTAGCTAAGCAAATAGCCTACATCGCTAATAAGATTTTTTGCATTATTATCATTTAATTTTTTAAGTCCTTACCTGCTCGACCTTTCGTCATGTCGTTTATCACACAAGCTACTGTGACGCGCCTTGAAGGGAGGCGAGGCCACGCCCCATATATATTCGGTTTTATTCTGAACGGGCTGTATATTATATATATATATATATATATATATATATATATATATATATATATATATATATAGTGCGGACGTTTAAAGTCCCCCCCTGTTATCTTTTGAACGAAAAAAGGTATCGACATCGGACAAAAACCATTGTCAAGGACATTAAGAATACTACTTTTTGACGTCAAATTGATAGGTGTCCATTTAAGGAGCGCCAAGAGGGCAGTATCAACTTAAAAATTTCAAAGGGAAAGGGGGGCTTGTGATACCTCATTTGAAAGGTATTTCGATTCTCTATTCGATGCTATTTAAATTTTTAAAATCCGTTTAACGGTTGCTAAGTAATTGAGCATTTCAGTTTTTCAAACTAATACATTTTCTTGCCGTCCTAGGCAGCTACATTCGTTGCCTGTTCGGTAAATCCGGCCCTGGCGGTGCGAATTATCGTAAATCTTATCGTTAATCAACATTAATTTTTTTTGAGACTTTTTTGTTTTTGTTTTGTAAAAAAAAACGCACCATTGTAGTTATAAGGCGGTTTATAAAATAATTCTACTCTTTAGTGTAACACTATTTATCAGTTGTGTCTGCTATTTTACTTATAATTTCATTGGAAAATGGTTCGCGCTCGCCCGTTGGAAGAAAAAATAGAAGCAATTTTTATTTACGCTGAAGTTGGACGTAATTTGCACCAAGCAGAGAGGGTATTTAATGAAAAGTACCCAGACAACCCTATTTGTAGAAAATATCTACGGGAGTGACTAAATTTCAAACAACTGGAAGTTTGAGTAGGCAGAATGGATCGGGTAGAAATCTCAGAAGACAAACAAATAGAAATAGTCGGTTCCGTCGTCAATAATCCACAACAACCGACGGCGGCACTTGCAGGGGATTGTGAGGTAGCAATATCAACTGTTAAAAAATATAAAAAAAAACAAATTTCATCCCTATAAATTAAAAATATTACATCAACTTATTGAAGATGACCCGGATCGCAGAGTACAGTTTTGTACAAAATCCCCTGTACTTGCAATCAATTTGTTTTAGTGATGAAAATACTTTTATCCTAAATGGCAATGTAAATCGGCAAAATGTACGTTACTGGTCAGATGTTAACCCACATGCTTTTCGTGAAGGTCATACCCAGTATCCACAAAAAGTCAATGTATGGGCGGGACAACTGGGAAACCATATTGTAGGACCCATCTTTTTGGAAGGAAATTTAACAGGCATCTTGTACTTACCCAGACAGCATCCAATTCAGAAAGATTTCTGTACGAAGTCTGTTGAAAACCATCTTACTGAGGTCACAATATGACATCTTAGAAAAATCATTTTTAGGAGCTCAAGATTAAGAGTTGATGAATTCATAAATGAGAAGTCAATTTTTTAACATCTTAAAGTATCTTTTTTTCTGACTTCTTATTGGAATCAAAATTAGAAGCTACTAAGGGTATCGTAAATAAGACTTTAGTTATATGATATCTTACAGTATTCTCTTTTCTTACTTCTTACTGAAATCATATTATTAACTCTTTAAGACGTCAACATGGAGACATGACATTTTAATGCGATAACTTTCTTCTCACCGCTGTAACTGCTTGTGTTTGATATAAGAGCGAGCTTTATACCAAACGGTCTTAGACCTAGGTAAACGGCTACCCGATACTGACGAGCTCCAAAAGAGCGAAACAGGCCGTCTATCGGTACCGGTGAAGAGCACGCTTGAATTTAAATAAAAGTGAGACGAAGTAATCGCAATTTCTAAA